GTCAAACTTCGTTGGGCCCACAAGATAGTGTCACGTAGGTCGAAAAGGGGTAAAAAATTATTAATAAGATAAGTTCAGGGGGGTAATAGGACCTTAGTATAGTATAAGTGTGTCTCTGAGATTTCGGACATAGGTTGAGGGGGTACTTGAGCATTATTCCAAGAGAAAATAATATTAATAATTTTGATAGCCAATTATTATAAATTAATACTATTTATAATCATGATTTTTTTTTTAAAAAAAAAATCTTAATTTATGCATCTATTCAAATTTTGACACATATCCATGAGTTTTATCCTTAGGTATCACTTTTTTGTTTTTTCTCCAAACATCGAATCATTATCCTCATTACTCAATGCACAATACTTGCTATTTCATTTTCAAGAGGCCCATCATTTTAATATATGATAATGAAATTATACATGTACTTTGAATAACACGTCTAACTATTTTAAATAACATAAAAATTGAGACAAGAAAAAAATGTAGACTTGGGATCTTTTTCCTGTCTCACTCAACTCATTTACCATCATTTTTTGTGAATCAACCCACCCCCCACCCCCCACCCCCACCCCCACATTATTAATATGAATTTTTAGTATTTTTCTCTTAATGAAAAGATTTTAAAATTACAAAAAAATTTATAGATTATTTAGATAATAATAAATTCTAACTGTTATAACGGCACTAATACTATAACATATCATACTATGAAGAATAATTTATTTTTTCTAAAAAAATAAATTACGTGTCTATTCAAATTTGAGACATAAATAAATTAAAATAAAAGAAAGCATTATTTTTATCAAGTTATATATGTACATCTTATACTTAGCTACCATTTTGTTTTGTGCATTATTATGTTTTTTTGTGTATGTCTCCAAACTTCGAATCAATGCATAATATTTCATTTTCAAGAGGCCCATTTTTTGAGGATAAATATAAAACAACATAAAAAGTAAGACAGGAAGAAATAGGGAGAAGGAATCTTTTCTTGTCTCACTCAACTCATCCTTGCTTTTTAATAATTTTTTTTTATATTTATTGAGTTTTGATTAATAATTTATATAAAAATATATTATTTTGAGAGTTAAGTATTATTTAGTAAATTAAATATAATTATATACACAAAATTTAAAATATCTAATTAAAAATATAACAATTCTGACCATTATATTGTAGTCCTCGATGCACGTCTCCATTGACGTACTTTGCTTCAATAAGGATATTTTCATAAAAAGTTAAAAAATAATTTTAATTTTTAAAAAAAATTATGAAACATACTTTGGCTATTTTCTTTAGTTTAAATTCATAACATTAAGTCATAGTTTATTACTTTGAATGTCACTAATATTTGTGTGGTTTTATAACTATTTTTAGTAATAAATCAACTATTGATGAAGAATCATACTTTAATTATGAGTATTTTAATGAACTTTTTCACAATAAATTTATGAATGAGATTATTTATCATAACGCACGGAGGTACAAAATAATCATCTAAATTAAATACTCTAATTAGATGTAAAATAAAATATTGTATTAGTTAGTATTGATAAATTTTAAACGATATTAATTGAATGACTTTAATTTTATTCTAAAATAATTATATCATATTGATATAATTATTTTAGAGTACATTATGCTCAGTAAAAGGAACGAGGGAAGCTTATATTCAAAATATTGAAATTGGAAGGAAGGGATAATTGGAACGTTAAATCATTCTATCATGAATATCATTAATTATATCATATATATGATATAATTATATTGGAGAAAAAACTTAATATCATTCAATTAGCATCATTTGAGATTTTTTAGTACTAATAATATTTTATGTTATATTCAATCAGATGATTAAAAATTGTTTAATTATGACCACTTAAAAATATAAATTTGTGAACAAATATTGGGCGCGTGCACTACACAGATTTTTCGTAATCAGTATTTATATAATAATTATCAATTTTCTTTCTTTATTTATTATTATATATTGATTTAAAATTATTATAAGAAATTTAAATTTTCAATTTTGGATTTGTTTTCCGAAATGCATCTCAAATATCACTATAATAAAAATGATCATTAGCGACAATTAATTTTTAATTGCCATTAAATATGTGTTTTTAGGGATAATTATCACTCTTTGTATATGTCCGTAAAACCTTTAGCGATATTGGTTCTAATTACACTTAACTAATGCGTGTAAAGACTTTTACACTTTTTATTAATGTCAATATTTAATATCACTAAAGTTATTTTTATTATAGTGTATTATACTAAAACCAATATTGTGTCTAGTATAGTTCTACTCTAACACAGTAAGGTCCAGAGAGGATAATCTAAGGTAAGATCTTTTATATATATAAAACCAGAATACTGTCTTCTAGGTTTATTATATTTCTCAATTATTTTAGTTTAAAAAATAAGTCTACAACATCACCACAACCTAAATAAGCCACAAAAAAAGTGATCAAAATAAGTTACTATTTTAGAAAGTAACTAAAATAAGTTTAGTGGAAGAAAAACTCCACTTTATTCAATATTTTAAACGTTTCCGTTAGTTTCATTGTGTATATTTTAATATATAAAGGAACTATACATTTTATAAAGTGTAAGTTTTTCTTACATTTGTAAAGTGGAACTTTTCTTACACTTTAAAAAGTGAAAGAAAATCTTACACTTAATAAAGTGAAAGAAAAATTATATTTTACAAAGAGAAATATAGATTTACATAGATTTCGACCGATAAAGAAGAACGTTGTTGACTAGTCTTAGGCTCCTTTCTAACATAAATTTCAACTATTATTGACTTGATTTGATCTATGTTGTCATTTGAAACCCTCATAAAGTCGGTCAATGATTCGTCATTCTAAATAATTCACTCTCCAAAATTTATCTTGTCCTTTTGATAAAAATGAAAAGTTGAGTATTTTCCGACTATAATCAATTATAACCAGTACTATTTATACATATTCTTTTATAAATTGATGAAAGAAATTTATGATTAGGACATTAATTGAATATTTAACATTGTGTTTGGGAGGACAATTATAATAAAATGTATTTTCTTCATGTATAATTTCGACATCCCAATAAATTGAAAGATCTAACTTTTGGGGTATTTGTAATTAAAATGAAGAAAATAGAAGACTAAAGATGTTGAATGTACTATGTTTGAATGTCCTTAAATAGAGTATGAAGGAGTTTTCTGAATAAAAAAATAAAAATACATAATGTAATAATCTTTTCTGTTCTTATGATATGTCGAATCAATATAATTATATGACAAACACTGCAAAAAGCTTCATAAAACTTCAAAACATGAAAAATATTTCTCTTTGTAAAACATAATTTTTTCTTCCACTGTAAGAAAAAGTTTCACTTTATAAAATGTAAGAAAGAATTTCACTTTACAAAGTGTAAGAAAAACTTACACTTTATAAAGTATAATAATTAGTTCCGTTATATATCAAAATGCACACGTTATGAGACTAACGAAAAACGTTTAGAATATTAGATAAAGCGAAGCTTTTTCTTCCACTAAACCTATTATAGTTACTTCCTAAAATAATAACTTATTTTGGTCACTTTTATTTGTAGCTTATTTAGATTTCATACTCTCAATAATATTATAATACTGACAGATATGATTTCGAATACGAGATTAAGATAATGTCTTTTCAAATTTCCATCATCCACCAATCTAACTTTTTTTTACTAATAAATAGATTTTTTGTTGTTTCCTTAAGTTTGTCAAGAATTTTTTTAATAACCGAATTCATATTTTTTTACTTGACATTTTGATATACTAAATATAACATAGACCTACAAAATAAACAACAACACACTGATGTTTGGAAAAGGTAGAGTATATACAAATGTGACCTCTATCTCAAAAAATTAATAATTATTTTCGATAAACCTTCAATTCAAGATTAAAATAGTCTAAAATAATAATAATGCATATTACGAAAACAACATATAGTAGCAGAATAATACTATAACAAAATAATACTAATCAAACTACATAAAACAACATATAATAGCAAAATCTAAGAACAAGAAATAAGATCAATACTATGACTACTGGAATGAACTACAAGTCAATACACTCCTACCTATCAATATGGACACCTTCCTACCTACTACCTTTCTACTCTAATATTGTAAGACCCCGAAAATGACTTAGGTAAAGCTAGAGCCTAACATGGTTTTCATGATGGTATAAAGTCCTAAAATGGTTTATAATGTGGGTTTGAGGCAGTGTCTAAAATTTTAGGTGCATTGGAAGTCAAACGTCAAGGGACGACCAAGATGTTCGACGTTTAAGTGACCTATGTGTCTCATATGTGGTTTTATGTGTTTATGTGTGATTCATGAGGTTATAAGATCCTTAAATGAGTTATTCTAGTGTGTATAGGTAGGTGTCAAGTTTCATGAAGTTTGGAGGTCAAACGTTCAAGAATGTCCATGACGTTCGAAAGGTTTGCCTTGAAACGACCTTTTGCGTCTTATGCATGTTTCGTAGAGTTTTACATGTTTCTTTTGGACGAAAATCGTGTGGTAAGGTCCTAAACTCGTATAAAAACATATTTGGGTTGGAAACGTTCGAATACGACTCCACATAGGACCCACAAGGGGCCCTAAAGAAGGACCCCAACATTGGATCTTAACACTGCCAAGCAGTGGCAATCGACGACCCAAATGACGGCCTGTAGACCAGGAAACAACCCGTCGATGGAGCCACTTTTACTTCAGGTTGGGGAGTTGCAGGTGCAACCCACGAGACCCCCATTGGCGGGACGTGAGTGAGACCACGGACCGTCGATGCATCCGTCGATGGGTTGTGTGTTTCCTGTCAGCTTTCTGTTAAGTTAAGGGGTGAACTTGTAAATTCATTCCAAGTCTTTTTATGTGTGAGGACGGTTGTTTTGAGTGTTTATGGGTATTTTAAGAGTATATAAGTCATTAGACTCTCATTATAACCTTAACACCTAAATAAAAACATATTCCCTCCAAAAGTTCTCTAAAAACCTCCTTGAGAGTTCAAAGTGAATATGGAGCTTGAAGATGGTTCTTCAATGGAGTTTATTCTTAAATATTCATTGGTTTCTTCAAATAAGGTATGAGAGTTCTTAATCTAAGGCTTGCTATTACCTTAGAGCCAATTTGAAAGATGATTTTCAAAGATTTCAAAAAGATGAAAAAGTCCAATTTCTACTCTAAGTCTTGGGTTCTTGCATAAATGATTTCCAAACGTTTATATATGATGAAATTGATGTTTTCCAATGAATTATACATGAACCCTTTACCTTCATAAGTCTCTCAATTTGACTAAAATATCGATTAAGTGATCATGCTTTGATATTGATGAATTCATGTGTAGATTGTTATGGGCTTTTAATTCATGTATAGATTATGGTTAATTGGTTTATAGGCTTTTTCAATTTGATAAATTGAGTATTAAATATTCTTAGATCTATTGAATGTTAGATTTATTGAATGTTAGACTTATTGAATGATATTGACTTAAGGCTTATGATTTCTAATGTAATTTTCTATGGGCTATCTAATGATGCAATAATTATATTCAAATGATATCTAGGTTGTATTAGATTGATAAGTAAGTAATGAATTGACCTAGTTTCATAGATTATTGATACAATTGTAATGAATCGTTGGTTATGGCCTTGGGTAAGGTCCATATGGTATCGAGTTGGATGATTTATCCTTGAAAGCGAAGTGGTAAGTTGGAGAGAAGGTATGCTACCCTAATTCCTTTTATTTTATGTTAATTAGACTTCAATTAATTGGATTGGTATGGTTCACTTATGGTGGCGGTGCTATGTGAATAGATGTGGCCTTGTCGGCGTTACTTTATGCAATATGATGATCATGGTCTTGTCGGCACTACTTGAAGTACTATGATTTTTTGCATAGTTTATTTATGTGAAATATGAGTATATCTATCTATATGTGAAGTAATGTGAAATTATATGTTCTTTCTATGTATGTTAGGAAATCATGTAAACTATGACTATGTTCTTATATCTGTAGTCTTAGATGTTGATACATGATTGTTCCTACTTGACTATACGAGTTATGATGGTTATATTGATGATGATATAATAATGTATAGGATGACATAAAGATGAAAAGGGTCATTCCTAAGTGCTTTAAAGAATGATATGCTATATGTGATAAGGTGAAAGAATGTTGTCTTGTTTGGTAGACTTCTGCCCCTTACTTGATACATGCATGAATTATATGTGAATATGAGATGTATTGACTATGTAGGCTTAATGTACCCTTGTCATGTATGAGTGAAAGATATGTGTGACCTTAGAAGATGTTAAGAAGGTCATGTACGCGGAAAAGGCTATATTATGAATGTTGAAGTTGAGAGCCGTAATGGTATCCTTCATGTAAATGAATGATGGACTTAGGGTTGATTGGCTGGAACGACATCATATCATCCTTAGAAAAGTCATAATAAGCTATCTTAGTCGCCATTGAAGGGTAGCCCTAGTAGACCTCTTTGGTAGGGTGAATGTACCTCTACTTGAGAATGAGACTAAAGTACATAAAATCCCTTCATAGTCCTTAACCATGTGCCTACATGGTATGTGTTCTAGTTCTACCATTGACAAGTAGAACACCCTCATTGGAGTAGGTTAGAACTACGGATTCTATGTCTAGCTATCCTGGTCTATGTCGGTTATTGCCTATTCTCATCTTGTGGGATACTTACTGGAATTAGAGAAGTTCTATGAAGTTTAGGTAGTGGTATGAGACGTTATCTAGACATTGTACAATAGGCTTTGAAGGTGTTAGTTAGAGTCCCTAGGTCTTGTCTAAGACCATTACTTGAATGCACTTTATGTGATGAATGAGTCTTAAATGAACTAATGAATGTAATGACTCAAGAATGAATGAGTACTTACCTAGAGTAATTAAGAGTTGTCTAGTTAAGGCATGAAGGGGGCATAGGAATGACCACTTCTTACCTTACCTAGATTAGTCTTAAGAATGACTCTAGTTAGGGAAGATGATTGTTTATGTGGACATGATCCAATCCAAACTTAGGAAGTCTTAAGAATTATTTAGGTAGTCTTGAAGAGGTCAATCATGGATGTTATCTTCTTGATCTACTTAAGTAAGTCTTTTGATAGCATTTGATGAGGAAATGTCATATCATTTTTATGTTGGTGTATTAAGTGAGCATGATTCTATCTTAGGTATTCTATAGGATCTCTTAAGTGTGTGTGTAAGGGATTGTATGGGCGGTCGCTTCACAACTCACTCAAGTGATACTTAGAAGTACCTTTGGTAGGATACTTCATGTTCTTATGTTGATGTCTTTGTAAGTGTGTATGTGAATCATCATAAGTAGTCTTAAGGATCATTTAGTCATGCCTAGAGAGGTTGTATGGACGGTCTTTCTTTGTGTGACTTAACTGAGTCTTAGGATAGCATTATGTGGGAAAATTACATTCTAGAAGATGTCTAAACTAAGTGGAAGAACTTCACTGTAACAGTGAATTGAGGTCACTATACAGTGAAGTGAGTTCACTGGAAAGTGTTCTTAAAATGTGACTTTTTGCTTAAATGATTTTTTATGTGTTTTCTAAGTTGTTAAATGTTGTTCTTATGATTATAGTATGATGTTTTAATCAGAATTTATGAAAAGCATGTTATTTACTAAATGTCTCTTGTTCATGGTTTTTGCATGACTTTCATATTTAGTACATCTAATATGCTAAGCCCTCATTTTTCCTTTTTGACTAAAGTGTTGGGAATTGGAAGTCTTGATGTGCCATGGAGGATGGATAGGTTTCTAAGGCTTGAAGATGAAGTATTGGTGAGTCCTCATCGATTCGAGGACAATGTCCACATGTCCCTTATGTCATAGACTTTATTTTATTGTCTTGTATGGGATTAGTCCCAAGTTTTGTATACTGTAAAGTTTAGATGGTTCAGGTAGATGTTGTAAAGATTTAATGTTTTAAATGAAAGTCTTCCGCTTGTGTAATTTTGATGAAAGAGTTTTTCGTGAGTGAAGTAAGTTTTAAATTTTTACCTATTTTAGTATATTTATTATGCAATGAACAATACGAGAGGCTTAGATGAGATTTTTTGAAGTCTCATTTGCCATGTGACGACATAAGGATGCCCTAACTTCTAGGTTGTACTTGTGGGTCGTGACATCTGCATTCACATCTTTCTATCTAAAGTCATGTCCTTGGTGAGCTGTAACTGTGTCATATCATGTGTAATTACCTCTCACCAACACTTTTTGATCTACCTCTACCTCTCATCCATCCATCTATAGCAACCTTTCATACATTTGCATTGAGGCATCAATATCTCTCTATATGACATGGATGAACAACATCAACTTTCGTTTCTTACATCTTGTCTTCTATCAAAGTTACTCTCACCTTATCCTCGATTTTAATTTTACTTCTTATAGTATATCTACAAATACATTGTAGCATCCTCATCTCCTCATATGAAATTTCTCGGTCGACCAACACTCGCCGCCCCATGTAATGAATTTGATCTAACCACTACTTTTTGACCCTTAAGATGACGCCTTTTTATCAAACAAATCTCTTACACATGGAAGGATTTATTGACTATGATGAACTTGAAGCTTTTTTTAATAAAAAAATTCATAATTTTTTCATCTCAAATTAGTTATTTAATTTGTATTATTTATTTATTCTGATAATTTTGCTGATGAATACTCAATCTAATCACTCAAATACATTGATATCATGTATAAAAATAAATAAATACTCAAATACAATTAATAGTTAGAAAAATAAATAAATATAATATAAGAAGTAAAAATGCTTAATATAACAAAAAATAAATACAGTTCGAAACATTGATATACGAAATGAAAACACTCATACACATCAGTACTAGATAAGTACTAGATAATTTAATATATCAAACTAAATAATGCATAAGAATAAAGGTAACTTACACAAATTTCACTAATTTATGATCTAATTACTTAGATTCATACTGATTTGCAGTATTACATTTTTACCATACTTTTAGTCCATATACATGTACCTTCTCTTTTAGATACATGTATCTTGTATCAATTAGTGTGTCCAATTAAGTGATATAACTGAAAGTCATCAATTAAGGAGTGTGCTAAATTAAGAGATATAACTGAAAGTCATTAATTAACTCACGTTTGCAATAACTTTAAATGATATGAATATCGCAACACCTAAAAAACATCAAAACGATCAAAATCTTATTTCTCTCTCTTTTGGCGGTTCAGTAAAGTTTAGACATCTCAACTTTAAATTCACGAACTATTATTCAGATACATACGTATTTGTTAGATACATATACACTTAATGAGATACACTTATAAAAAGTAGATACATATAATATTAACCCAAAAAATGTATCGAATACATCAATAATGTGTCAGATACATACATAATTCTACAATACATTTGTATATCTATTCATATACATATACACTTAATTGGATACATATAAACAAATTAACTCATTAATGTGTTATATACGTCAATAATAATGTGCTACATACATCAAAAATTCAATCCAATCCAAAAAGTCCCTTTCTTATCCTCGTTAACGTTTATCACAATCACTACATAAATCAACTTTTCATTTGAAACAAATTACATACTATCTTTCTCTTTTGTTCATCAAAGTTGTATTTTTGTATTTTCAAATTTAAGCAATTGAAAGTATCGAGAATTGTAATGGTAATTTTCATGTGGTTTCTCGAGAAACTATAAATAAACATTTTCTCATTTGAAGAATCACTAATCAAGAAAACTCTACATCAATGTAGTTTTACCTTAACTTTTAAAAACTAGAAGACAAAACAAATTGAAATCTATCAAGGATGCATGACTTTAAAAATGATTAAATAGAGATAAACCTAAAATTGTAATGTTGTTTTGGATTTCAATTTTAAAAATATAACAATGAAATTCGTGATAAAGAAATAAAAGAAAGAGCATAAAAGCTTGAATTGGGAATGACTTAATTATGCAAATAACTAATTTTAAGAGACGTATATCTAATAGTATCTTCAATAAATATATGATATAAAATATTAAAAGTGATAATATATGTAATTATTTGAAAATAAATGTAATATTAATATATAGAGAAATGGTCTAAAGCCCCCTAACTTATACCCGAAATTTCAACTAGACACTTCAACTTCACGAGTGTCATATCACCCCTGAACATTTTATTTGTCTATTTACTAGACACTTGAGTGCAGCCCTTTTCACATAAACTAAATAAATTGTCTCATGTATTTGCACGCACTGGTCCCCATCCACTTCAACCCCCATTTTTTTTGTTTTTCTCCATTTCTCTCCCAAAAACGTAAAAAAATCGAAAAAGAAGCTTTTCATCTTGTTTTCTCCATTTGAGTCAAAGCATTTCTGGTGATGATCGAAATATTTTTCTGTATATTATAAACTTGATTACGTAGTTTATCAACTGATTTAGAAGATTTAACCTTTACTAAATTCGTTGATAAACTACATTCAAATTGAAAATACACACAAAAATATTTCGATCATCACCAGAATTGCTTCGACTCAAATGGAGAATGAAAAACTTCTCATTGGGGGTTCTTACTTTTTTGAGAGGGAAATGGAAGGAAAATGGAGAAAAAACAAAAATAGGGGTTAAAATGGGTGGAGATCCGCGCGTGCAAATACATGAGATATTTTATTTGATTAATGTGGACAGGGAAACACTCGAAGTGTGTAGTAAACAAACAAATAAAATGTTCATGAGGCGATAGGACCCCCGTGAAGTAGAAGTGTGTAGTTGAGATTTCGTGATACCAGTGATAGTGATGTATGTCTAAAAATGTAGTTTATTAAAAAAAACAATGAGAAAATACACAAAAAAAACCCTTGAACTTGGTGTTACGATCCGATTTCGAAAACTAAAGGTTTCGAAGCCTATTTTGCAACTTTGACAATTTTATTAAATTTTTGGAAAATAATAATTTTAGAGTCGCCACTTAATTTTAGGGAAAATTAAGAAAACCATTTAAAAGGATAATTTTGAAATAAAACATTTTAAATAAACCAGAGTCGAGAAAGAGTTTAGAAGGCAGACGAAAGCACTACGCACTGCGGAATCTAAGCAGGCAAAAAAACATTAATAGGTTTTACAAAAAGACAGGTAGAGATGAATTTTCAACAACGCAAATGGTTGTTAGACATAGAATTGGGTCTGGAATTACAGGAAGAAACAGGCTAAAATTGGTATTGAGAGGGAAGCCAAGAATGTGGTCAATTTGATTTAAGAAATAACCACATGAATTGCAATTTCGATCAAATTGAGGTGATTGGTCGATTTCGGTCAAAATTGAAATAAGACGAATTAGTATTGATTGATTATTGAACTTCGTAATCATAACGAAATAAAATAATTAATTTAATTATATCTAAATAATTTAAAGTATAAAGTATTACATAACTAAAGTAATTAACCAAATATATAATTAAAACAAAAAATCTTTTTTGAGATGATTTTCAAATATTCATAAACTATACTAATTATATACAAAAAGTTATATAATACATATATATTACTTATAAATTATATATTAAAAATATATAAATATTAATTAAAAGTAACTTGAAAAAAATATTTAGAACTTTATAAAACTAATTATTTTAAATTGTTTGGAGCTTAAGAAGTTCGATGATCAATATATATTTATTATGGAGGAGCAAAATTGAGTGTCAACACTTGACAACAAAACTTACTTTAGCACTTAAACTATACAGACGTTTAAATTAGCCCCTTAAAATCGGTAAAGTGATTTATTTCAACCCTAATACTACAATACTAGCCTCACAATGAGAAGTGTATTACACGCGCCATTTCATTCCCACGTCAATGTCACGTCATTGCCACATCATCGCCACATTGAAAATTATAAATTTTGAGTTTTTTTAATTCTTTTTTGTTTATTTTTATTTATACAATTTTAGAAAGGCAAAAATAAAAAAAAAGTTCCGAATTAATCTAAGATTATAAAAAATAAAATCAAACTCTAACATATTCAAGACTAGAAAACATTCAATTAATAAAACACATTATCAAAATAAATAAATAATACAAATTAAATAACTAATTTAAGATGAAAAAATTATAAATTTTTTTATTAAAAAAAGCTTCAAGTTCATCATAATCAACAAATTCTTCCATATGTAAGAGAAGCAACAACAAATTGTTGGGTTTTTTCATTTTTTTCTTATTCATCACTTCTAAGAATAAGCAAGAATAATTTGAAATGAAGAAATAAGTAGGGGTGATCCGAAGAAGAAGAAGAAAGGGGTGAGGCAAATATGGGTGGCGGCCAGTGACGGATCCAAGTTTTTTATAAAGTGGGTTCAAGATATAAAAAATAAATAAATAAAAATACAAATATAAAGGGCATACTAGGATTCGATCATGAGCTGGTTGGGATAACTTGAACCCCCTCAACCATTAAGCCAAGCTTTAAACTTGTGTTAGTGGGGTCAAAATTATATATATATATATGTGTGTGTGTGTAAAATTTTAAAAACTGATTAAATATATATGTATATACGATGTTATTTTTCAACGAAGTGGGTTCATATGAACCGACTTGCACCACTGTAGGCCCACCCCTAGTGGCGGTGGAATTCGAAATTGGAGAAAAGAAGGGTGAGTGGGGTTTTTGGTGGATAAAGGTTGTGGGGTGTGAGGAAGATAAAACATTATTGGTTGGAAAGAAAAAAAGGGGCCTATTTATTTTATTTTATTGATCTTTTACGTTGTCACTTTTATTTTTTTTATTTGCCACATCTGTTTTTTGGGTGAATTTTAATTCACTTGAAATGAGATTAGGTGAGTAAATAATTATTTTTAAAGTTAAAGTACTAAAATAAGTTTAACAGACATATTTAAGAGAATTTTTAAGGGAAACTTACATAAATATACTATAATAAAAAATATTTATCGTTTATAGCAATAATATTTTTTTCTTCACTTGATCACTTTTAATTCATTTAT